TTTTTTTGAGAGGTTTTTGCTATAGGGCGCTTGCGCTCGCCAGACAGACAGAGAGAGACATAGAGACAGAAAGCGAGAAATCACCCCCAGGGGGGATGGTCACACCGCAATCCCTTCTCCTCCATTCTCCTCTCGGGATCTTGGGCACGTACGCACACGCGCCCAGCATGAGTTTTAAGCCACCGGGTCCAGGACGCGAACTGTGGTCAACTACGTGGGAATCCAGCGACATAGCCATTACGCTAACTGCTGGTTCCCGAGGGTAAGAGCCCTTTGAAGTTGGTTCGTTCTATGAGAAACCAGCAGCTGGAGGAGATGCCGGGTCACCAGGAGGCTGCCACGTGGAGATTCTAGGGTTGGAAGCCTGTGCTGGCCTCCTGAGCAACTGTTGGTGCTGCATTCCACCCCTGCACTCTCCGGCCCATCATTCCCTTCAGCCTCTGGCTACCCAGAAGGCTGCCTGGAGACTGCCCTCTATGGAGGCATCTCAACATGGTTCTGAGTCTAAAAAAGCCTCGGAGCCACACTGGTAATCCCAGCTATGCATGAGGCTGAGGCAGGAGGATCATGAGTTCAAAATAATGAGATCCTCTCTCCTAAAAACATTAAATTTGGGCCAGTCATGTGGTGTAGAGGTTAAGACAGCTGGATCCCACATGACAAACGGCATAGTTCGATTCCGGACCCGGCAGCTGGGAGTATGTGTGTGTGCGTGTCCAAAATCTCTAGAGAATGGAGGAGACAGGATTGTGGTGTGGCCTTTTCCTCTGAGGAGTGATTTCTCACTTTCTCTCCCTCTCTGGTGAGCACATGCTCTATAATTTAATTAATTTAAAAAGTGGGATCTAGCCCTGTAGCCTGGTGGTTAAAGGAGCCAGATCCCCATGGCCAAACATGGGCTCTGCACACTGGGTGTGTGTGTGCACGGGCATGCGTGCCCCAAACCCCAGCAGGATGGAGAAGGAATTGTTCTCTCCCTCTCCGTATCTCTCTGGTGAATGCATGTACCCTCTGGCAATAAACAAACAAACAAATCAGCATCTTTACTGAAGGCCCCTCGAGGAGGCAGCAAAGGGCAATGACACTACACAAGACGCCATCCCCCGGTCCCCTTCCCCTGCTCTGCCCAGCAGCTCTCTGGCACTCCCCGGCAGCCCCTCATCCCCTCTGCTCCTTTTCTCTTTTCTCCTTCCTCCCCACCCCTCCAGCCCTTCCTTCCTTCTCCCAGATCCATTTTTTTCTCACGTGAAACAATGTCGCCTGCTCTTCACCACTGGTGCACCACTCAGACCATGCAAGCAGAAAACCAGGGAGAGCAGGGAGAGGGCAGGGCTGGGAGGGGAAGGGCCACGTGGCCTGTTCAGGACTCTTCCTTTACCCTGTCTAAACCCCAAGACTGCTGGACGGCAGGAGCCTGCAGAGAAGTTAAGCTCCACAGGAACACCTGAGATGGCCGAGGTTAGCGAGGAAGTGGGAAGCCAGGCCCTCCAGGCCAGGGGAATCCACTCAAAGTATCCTCACAGGGGAAGCTACATGTTCCCGTCGGAAAGACTCCCTGAGCATACGAGGCACATTCGTGCCCATGATCCAGCGCCAGTGTTTTCTTCATTGATTTATCATTCAGTTGTTTTTTTCTGGACAGAGCAAAGCTGATTCTTGAGCCACAGATGGTAAACGTGTGGGGACGTCAGAAGGCTGGCTGTTTCCCATGCCCCTTCCGAGGCCAGGTGTGCCAAGCATTACACGTGTTTTCACTGGGCATCTGGTTCTAAGCCGGGATCTGGTCCCTTGTGGTGGGGGAAGGGGACAAGGAGAGCAGAAGACAGAGGGGCTCTGCCCGCAGCCTGGCCGAGGCCTGCAGCCATCCTGATGACCGTCCCAGCCCACCACTGAGAGCTGGGACCTGTTGGCTACTGTTCCAGGAGTGGGAGTCAGGCCACAGGTGAATTCCGCTCCTCGCTTCCCTCTGGGAGCAGAAGAGCAGAGCGGATTCAGACTCCAGGGCTGGACCACGTGGTACGGGCCCTGCCTCTCCCATTTTCTACCCGTGTTAATCTGGCCACGTTCTTTAGCCTTTTTCCCTCAGTTTCCCCAATTATAAAACCAGAGTAAGACAGTAAGTGGCTCGTAAAGTTGTTGTGGGGATTAAAGTGCAAGGCTGAGAACAATGCCTGGAACAGTCAGCTGGGAATGTCACCACTGTTACTCTTCTGCCTCCCAGGCTGTCTCTAGGAATAGGAGTAGGAGGTTTCTAAACAGGACCTTTAAACAGACAGTTGCAGCTGTTGTGCTTTCTCTCCCACCTGGAAGACAAGGATCTTTTAAGAAAATAAAAGCTCGGAGCCTGTGGGTGGCATAGTGGTTAAGGCACTAGTCTCTCACATGGCTGACCACTGTTTGAGTCCTGGACCAGAAGGCTTGAAACTCTTGCCAGGCATGTGTGCGTGTGCGTGTGCGTGTGTGCGTGCCCGAAATCCTAGGAGGAAAATGGAAGAGAAGGGATTGCAGCATGGCCATCCCCCCGGGAGGTGACTTCTCACTTTCTCTCTGTCTCTCCCGCAAGCACATGTGCCCTATAGCAAAAATCTCTCTCTTTAAAAAGAAAGAAAAGAAAAACTCACCAGGCAGTGATCTGTTCCTGTAATCCCAGCTGCCGCAGGAGGACAGTGAGTTTGAGTCCAGTTTAGACAACATGAGACTCTGTCTTGAAAAGAAAAAAAGGTTATCGTACATTTTTCCCTCTTCTTTATTCTCCTAGCTTTTTATGTGACCCCATTTAGATTCCTCTAAGAAAAACCCCTTACTCCCTTTCAGCTCGGGTCCTGCTCATTCTCAGATTTTGCATAGTAGAGGAAGACCTGTCTGCCTGCTGAAGGTTTGGTGACAGTCTGTGGTATAAGCTCGCAGAGATTAACAGAGAAAAATCATTTCAATGATAGGTACACACACAGGAGTCCCACAAAATACAAGGCTCCTCATCCCACTTTCTGAGACTAGGGACCGTAAGCCAGGAGCCCCACCTGTCCCCATAAGAAGGAAAAATCATTAGTACATGCCAGTGCCAGGGACTCCACCAGGAGCCTCACGTTCACCCTTTCCTCTTTTTCTCTTCCCTCCTCCTAAGCCAGAGCACACTCAGTGGTGGCGTGGAGAGTGGGGCCTTCTCCTGGGGATGTTCTCCTTCTGGACGGGAGACACAGGGCACACAGGGTGTGGAGGTGGAGTGTGGGGAGGGGTTGGGGTATGGCCAAGGTGACTCTTACCATGGTTAGGAAAGACATTCTTGGGGACAGAGCAGGGCAACTAAGCCTTGGAGGGTGGGTACAATGGGAAGGAAGTCGGGTCAGGGTGTTTCTTATGCAAAAAAACAGCCCAGGGAAAGGCATGGAGGTTGTGGGAAGAGGAGGTGAGGCTGGGCAGTGAGGGCCTTGGGCATCAGTCTAGGGACGTCCAGGGTACCAAAACAATGACAGCAGTGACCACTTACTGGGCCTTGCAACGTGCTTTATACACATGCTGTCCTTCCTTAGATTTCCTGTTGCAGATGTGTAAACTGAGGCCCAGGCACGGGTAGGGACCTGCCAAGCTCACACTGCCCTTCCCTAACCCAGATCTCAGATGCCCCTTGCCTAGCCCCCCCCTTCCTTTCCTTTCTTTCCCTGCCATCCAAGCACCCACCACCCCTGTCCGGGTCCAGTAATGGGACCTCATGAAGGCGTGACAGAGCAGCAGGGTGATAATCACAGTATCAGTCTTGCCCCATTAGCTGGGCACGCGGCCTCCTGGAATGAAAACTTCATTTTCAGACCCCCTTCCAGCTAGGTATAGCCAGGTAAGATCTTCCCGGCCAATGGGATAAAAGGGAAGTGACCTAAGGCAGTTGACTAAGGGGAGGGGGGTGTCCTTAAGAGACAAGTGGCCTCTGTCTCCCCCCACCTTCCTGTTGATCAGAGGTGGATGTGACAATGGAGTACCATCCTGACAGTGAGGGCCAGGGCCCCTTCCATAGTGGAAGCCAGAAGCATCTCGGGTCTCTAACCACTCCAACATGGGCTTAATCTAAATCTGGACTTCTGCATGAGAAGGAGATAAATGTCTTTTTTAAGCCACTCATTTTGTGGGTCTTTGCTAGCTCAGCCCAAACGAGCCCCATCCCAAGATGATGGGCATTAGGTGAAGGCCAGGCAGTGACCTGGGCCAGGGATGAGACCTCACCTAGGTGGGTGCTAGAGGTCACCAAGACCCAGAGACACCTGGGAGCCTTCTTAGGAAAGCACCAAGCCTGCAGCTGTCAGCCCTGAGTGGCTGGGGCTGCAAGCTGGATTGGCTTCCTGAGGGAGACAGTGAGGAGAGACAAAGTCTGGGGGTCTCTGGACTATAGTGGCATGATGCGGCAGTGGGCTGGTGGCGGGGGAGTGGAGGTGAGGGGTAAAGAAGAGCAGAATGGAAGTTCCCCAGGGAGGCTAGGCCCAGCAAGCCACTTCTAGGACAAAGATCTTTCAGTGTTGGCTACTGGCAGTTGAGAACAGGGAGCCAGGGTACTGGGGGTCAAGGTTTGGGGAGCTGGAGTCAGGAACCAGGACTGGTCTTGGAGAGATTTCCATTCCAAGCCGGAAGAGCCCAAGGGCAGTGGATGTGTCCTAGCAATGGCTGCAGCGGGCTCCTCCCTCCATCCCTCATCCATCAGCAAACATTCTCCGTGAGCCTTTGTGCTGGCGCTGGCCACACAGAAGCAGCTCAGATCCAGGCCTTACCCTCAGAAAGAACTTCAGAAGGAGGTGAAGACCAGGAAGGAGTTCATCCAGTGAAGAACATGTACCGAGTGCCTACTGTATGCTGGGCATCATGCTGGAAGTGGGTCCCTGTGCTCAGGGAGACAGGCAATAATGAAATAAACACATACGCCTGGGTCATACAGCTGGGGGGACTGCACAGAAAATCACAGAGGGCCAGGGGACAAGGACGGTGTCACCAGAGAGACGAAGAACTCATGGTGTGGTCACTGGCTGAGATATCCTGAGGACTGGGGGGACCCTGGCTTAGTTTAGGGACAGGGAAAGTTTTCTACCTGAGGCCTGAGGGCCTGGCAGGGCCTCTGAGGGCATGAAATGATCAATGATCAAAATCCGAAAAGATATCTGAGGCTGGGATTCCAATCACACAGCTGACCATGTGGGATCCAGCTCCCTTAACCACTAAGCCACAGGGCTGGCCCAATAGATGAACTTAAAATTAAGTTTAAGATAATACATTAAGTGAAGACACATAGTTTGAAGGAATATGTAGGTATAATGAAATCACATGAAAAAGAAAGCCAGAGAATGCCGAATACAGGTCTTGAGGCGATACTGTGCTGTGGTGGGACAGCAGGAGAATGCATGGGGGCACTATCTAATTAGACGTAGGTTATGGTACAGGTCCTTGTACTCGTGGGTTCTGTTTGCTTTTTGAGAGCAAATTAAATAAATGATGAGAATGTGTCAGGCACAAAAGATTATAACTAGTCCAAGCCTGTGTGTTCGCCGTTTCCTCATAGAGGAAAGAGGGCAATCTCAAAATTTCTGCTGGGCCTTGGAACAGAGTTAGGAGCCAGATTTCTACCTAAGACAGCTCCTTCCTGGCTCACTGCCTCATGAGCAGTGCTGCGATGCTGAAGCCGCGTTCTCCCACAGAGGGTCCTGGCGACTCTCAGCGGATCATTCCCTATCTATCTTTGAACTTCAGGTTCCTCGTCTGTGAAGGGAGAATGAACTCTGAAAGATGACCTTAACTCACCGTCTTTCTCCAAGGCCATCGCTAGTCATGACTGGCCATCAAAACCCTCCCATTGAGGTAGAGCTGGCAGGTGGCAAGGTGGCTATAGGCTCTGGACTCCCACGTGGCCAACTGCGGTTTGAGTCCTAGACTTGGCGGCTTGCTCTCTCACTTTCCCTCTCTCTCTTTCTCTGGTCAAATTAAAAACTAGTAATGAATAAAGTTGAATAAAATAATTCTTTTTTTTAAGAGAGGTTTTTGCTATAGAGCACATGTACTCACCAGAGAGACGGAGAGACAGAAAGCAAAAAATTATCCCGCCATGGGGGATTGCCATGCCTCTGTTCTCCCCTTAGGATTTTGGGCACACAGGTACATGCATGCAGCATGTTTTAAGCCACCTGGTCCAGGACTCGAACTGTGGTCAATTATGTGGGAGTCCAGTGACGTAACCATTATGCCGTCTGCTGGTCCTGAATAAAATAATTATTTAAAACAAAACCCTTCCCATTGTGATGTCCCCAGGATTCCACAGCCCTGACTTTGCTGGGTCACCATGACTATCTAGGTAGGTGAGTTGGTGTCTTCACTGTGGAAGTGAGGGGTCCTAGGAGCCACCAATCCACTCTCTAATTCCTTCCCAGACTAGACCCTTTGTGTTTTTTTTTTAAGTTTTTGTTATAGGGTGTGTGTGTTTCCCAGAGAGAGAGACAGAGAGAGGGAAAGTGAGAAATTCCCCCTAGTGGGGATGGCCACACTGCATTCCCTTGTCCTCTAGTCTCCTCTCAGGATTTTGGGCATGCTTATGCAAGTGCCCAGATGGATTTTCAAGCTGCTAGGTCTGGGACTTGAGCCAGGAGTTGGCCATGTGGGTTCCAGGGCCTTAACCTCCATGCCACCTGCCGGTCTTTCGCAGACTAGATCCTTAAACACCATTCTTTCCCACCAGAGGAATTCCTAGGCCACAGGCCCAGCCAGTTCACGCCAATGTCAAGCTGTAGGGCCGAGGAACTGGGACCTGAGTCTCCATCCTTCATCAGTTCGCCCATCTGGGATACCCGATAAAGACCTCCATTCAGAAGTGATGAGAAGGCATGATATGAAGGCATTTGGAAAAATATAAATTTCATACTAGGGGCCATTATTATGGGGGAGACAGTGATTCCTCCCACACACCAAAACTTGCCCCAAACGAGTTGAAAGAAGACTTAGAGGTTAAGAGTCTGACTTTGAATGTCAGTCAGAGGGGTCACCCTGGGGGAAGCCTGACTCCTCACTTTTGGGGCCAGGCAGCTGAGGCCCAGGTCACACAGCAAGGCAGGGCAGAGAAGGGCCAGGCGGGGCTCTTTTTCCTGTCCATTGGTTTCCCAGTGAAGAGGGAGAGATCTCCTCCTTGGTCCCCTTGAGTCAGAGCAGAGACACAGTCGTAGTGAGGGACTCCCAGAAGGCCAGGAAAAGTTTTCTTCCTACAGACTTCCCACAAACCACAGGGCCACTGGGAGGGTAGAGTGAGCTCCCCACCCCAGGGGGTATCCTCTCATTCTTTTAGGCAATCGAGTATCAACCACCCTGCCCCACCCCTACTCCCTGCTCACCTGAACCCACCTCCCAGCCTCATCTGCCCAGCTCTCTGGGGCTGTGACTGGGGTGCAGTGTGGTTGGCTGGGCAAAGGACGGGCGGCTGACTTAACCATGTCAGCTAACCATGAGAGGGACCTTCCTTCATCTTCAGGATCCGGGACCAGGAAAGGAAGGCTGGCGGACACTGCATGTAAAGTCGCTGAAGTCTGAATTTGCATCATGGCAGGAGTTGTCATTTTTTGACTTCCACTCTGGTCTGTTACTTCATGACCCAGCCGGAAGGGGCAATTTCAAGAGTGGCTTGAAATAGTAGTATTACCCATATATCACAATATAAGCACGCCCTACATTGTCATTCATTCATTCATTCAGATATAGGGTCCTGCATTTGAGCTGAGCCCAGGAGGATGAATGGGATCTAGCAGACGCGGGTGAGGGTGGGGAAGGGGGTGATGAACTAGTACCCTACATGAGATGATGCGAGATAGACTGAGGCGCTGGCTGGAGGTGGGGGAAGCTTAAGCACTGGATCAGTGTGAAGCAAGAGACCTATGCCTGCCCTGTCGGGAGAGTGGAGCAGTAGGTAAGTTTGGATGTTCCGGTAGAAGTTCCTTTTGTGTGTGAGGCCGAAGAAGGGACAGGGTGCTTTGCGAAGGTCTGAAAAAAAATAAGACTAGAAAACACTGGAAGAAAATGAAGACTTCCGAACTCTCACCTGTGGCAGGGTTGGTGCTGCTTTTTCTGTCCAGGGCAAGGAGGGCTGGGGGAACCAGAACGGCAGAGGGCGCAGGAATCTTGGACTCTGCAGAGCCAGGCAAGAGTGGGCGAGGCACAGGGCGGAGCGTGGAGGACTGGGGCCGCCGAGACAGCTGGGCAGGTGGGGGGCGTGGCAGCTGAAAGAGTGGGGTGGGGCTTCTGGAACCGCGTGGGGCTGGATCGGGGATCGTCAGACTGGATCAGAATCAGGAAGGTGGGACTGGAGGGCGTTTGGGGGCGTGAGGGGCGGGGAATAGGCGTGGCTGCAGCTGGATTCGCCTCGAGGCTGTGACTAGGGGCGCGGCCTGGGCGGGACAGAGGGCAGAGCAGGGAGCGCCGCGCGCTCCCCCTAGCGCCGAGTCCCACCCCTTTCCCGGCCAGGGGAGTGTTGTGTACCTGAGGGTCGGTGTGTACGATAATTTGTGGGTCCGAGGTTGCCATGTTGGAACCCCTCCGGCAGGAAGTGCTTCCGCGCGAAAGCAGCTGAACC